GATGGGAATGCACAGCCTTGGATCCTCTTATTCACATTATCGAAGAAGGAACAGAAGCATATCAAATAGTGCATGTGACCTATAAGACTGTAAGATATGGCTCTGAAATGGCTTTCAGGGTTAAGTTCGACACATAGAGTGAACCAGGCAGGTGCTTCTCTGGGAAACTTTGGGATGAACTAGGATGTCTTTTCAGCTCAAATGGACAAGTGATTGGGATTAACATGATGAGAAGGACATGATGCAATTAGAAGGTAAAGTAGAGGGGCAGCGAGAGAACAGGAAGGCCTTTGACAAGGTGGTCTGAGACAGTGGCTGCAACAATGGCTTCAAATACAAGAACCATTGTGACGATTGCGCAGGACCAGGCAGGGTTTCCTTCTGCTGTACATCTGGCTGCTATGAGTCGGAACCAACTAGATGGCACCTAACAACAGCAACGCAATGACAAGTTATCCAAACCCTGGGTTTTCATTGTCTTTGGTTCAGAAGACGTAGGCCGGCTAATTCTCTGGATCCCGGTAGCACAGGCCTCTTCATGACCACATCACTCGCAAATGGCTGCCGCAGAGCAGGCGTCAGACTCCTTGTGGCGCGTGCATTGGACACACCCCGCCTCTCTGAAGGTGAGTCGGGAAGTACTGCCACCGGGGCGCCAGTTCACACTGCACTGGTTTATTCCAAGCACAACGTGATCAGCATGTCTTCACGCTCAGCGGCGGCTGCAAGCACATGCTCTTGCACGGAGTGACACACTCCTCTCAAGTCATTAGGGGCCTTCAAAGGAGTGTCCCATCAAAACAGCGGCTCCCCAGGGGATCTGCTGGGCCAGTTACATTCAAGGCAGCGAGGTCAGCTCCGAAGGTTAGGACAACTGCTGATTTGGTCCCCAAGCTCCAAGAACAATTCAAAAGAATACGATAGCGCTGTTTTGAGAGGGTCCAAGTTGAAGAGTGCGAAGTCTTCAGGGCAGGAAGGGAGAAATGGAAACAGTGCCTTCTGAAGGGGTAGACCTCGATGGATGATATGTTGGGAAACCATAGTTCCGTTCTGATATTTTTATCTAATAAAGGCACTTTTTGATTGATGTTCATCCAACAATGGCTCACCTTGAGAGATGGCACCCCCCTCCAGATGGAGCCAGTAGGGAAAGCAAAGTCTCCCCAGCTGACTTGGCAACTTTGTAAGCACACCCAAGAATCATCCTCCCACCTTCTCTTCTCCCATTTCCCCGCAGAGACTGCCCTTCTGTCCCAGACCTCGCTCCCACATCCACTCCATCCGCACAACCCAGGGGACCGTGGTCACGGTGACCCCCTCACAGTGGAGAACTGACTGACACCAAGTGACTTGCTCCCAGTCCTAACATGGAGGCTTCCAGAGGCACCTCCGACCTCAAGAGGCCCCTGATGCTGAAGCTCTTGTCCGCGGCACTGACGGGGGTGATCTTCTGTCAGCAGCTCATCCCTTGGCTCTCTCCTTGACCCTCCCCCCAACTCTTAAGAGGTATATTCTTGCAAGCTCTGGCTTGGTTCTGGGGTCCCTTCTGTATCGTGAAACGCCAAAGTCTTCCACAAGATGAGAAACTTTCACCATCAGCCACTCTAACCAGCCAAGACCAGGGTGTGGGAAGGGGTGCTCTCTGACCTATGACCGTAAGACAACAGCCTTGCCCTTTGATATCACCACCGTGCTTGGACTACTGTACGATCTTCTCCTGGAATTTTCCAGCTATGCTCCAGGAGGTAAACTGGAGGCATACAGGACATGCACAGCACCCTTCTTAGCTACTACTGCCTCGGGTCTGCACATCGCAGCCCAGGCTGCCGAGGTCGGTCCTTTCATCCCCACCCTTCTCTCCCTCCCCGTGTCATTAAAGAATGAACAACTTGAGCAGACGTTATCTACCGTCTGTCAGCACTGTGCCCGGCACTTGGGAAATACATGTTAACACACGGTCTCTGCAAAGCACTGACGAGAGGGCCCCTGGGAAGCAAGACCCCATCTAGGATGGTGGAGGCCGTGGTGAGTGGTACCTTCGCCACAGGAGCCACAGGCAACGCATTCTGTTCCGGCAACGTTTAGTTAGTGCCTCTGCCTGGCTCTCTTGGCTTCTGGTGTGGAACTCCCTCCACCAGACTGGCATTCCCCCGACAGGGGGCCACGGACTGGCCCTGCAAAGTGCAGTTGGCTAAACAACTCTGTGGCCAAAGAGGATGAGAAATGCAGTGGACTGGCGCCACTGGTGGTTACATGCTGGGCTGCTGCAGGGGCAGTGACTTCTTTAATGTGGCTCTTCTGGAGAAAGTCTCTGTAACTCTCACCAGACGACCTGTCTCCTGCGTGAGTCTGGTCAGAAGGTGGCGGAAGATACCGATGGAATTCACCTGTGAGTCATTGCAAATAGGATTCCCTGGAGTGCCATCCTGTGGATAAAATGAGCCCTCTGAGAAGCAGGAACCTCCTGGATTCAGATGACAAGGACACCATCAGAGGAGCAGCAGCAGAACCAGGAGCCAGAGCATGGAACAGAGTCGTGGACTTTGAGAATTCACGGAGCAAATTAAGATGAGTGTGTTTGTGTTGGAGTCTGGCTTGTGGAACGGGGTGCCTCTGGGCATGTCATGGGGGAGTTGGACTTGCTGACCCACAGAAGTGGAGCTGAGTGCCTTCAGGCTGAGGCTTACTGAAGTGGGGTACCGCTGGGCACTTAATTCGGGGAGCTGAGCTGAATGGCTTTGGATGGAAGCTCCTAGTGGAGTGGAATGCCCCTGGGGCACTGATTAGCAGACCTCAAGCTTTGTAACCTGTCCTTGTAAACAACTACCCCGAGCATTTCTCACTGGCAGTACAACTGGTTGACTTCCTTAATAAACTCTTTAATCAGACATTTTGTCTGAGTTTCTGTGTAGCCATTGCAACAAGTACTAGAAGCCAGAGAAGTAAAATAGAGAACATTAATTGAGGCATTACAGCTGCAACTCTCAACAACTAGTTTTTCCTCGGAAGAAAGGTGAGGCTTTCTACTCCATTCAGAGAGTCACGGTGTCAGAAACCTGCAGGGGCAGTTCTACCCTGTCCTATAGGGTCACTGTGAGTCGGCATCGACTGGACGGCAGGGAGCGCTCCCCTCCAGCAGATGGAAGGCTCTGACAGCAAGGCCTGTAGGAAAGGAACCCTTCTGATATGGCTCATGCGGAACTCCCAAACGCATGACCACAGAGCACTTTTGAGACTTATTTGTACCCCGAGGAAGGGCAGCTGCTCAAGGAAGCCGACTTGGAGAACCACCGCATCACACCAGGCTTCTCAAACAGGGCAGGCTTTCCTGGGTGGGGCAAGTGGGCACAGGCAGGTAGAGAAGGCGCTTGTAGAAACCCACGTGAGAGTGAACTCTGGCTGGATGGAGACGGAGCCAGAGTCGACAGCCCACAAGTTCAGCTAAGCCCGAACATCAGCCGTAGCAAGAACACCGTAACGACGGCAACAAGCCAACGGCACACCCCATGGCACTCAAGCCCTCGGAACGTCTGAACAGGCACTGGATTTAGCGCTGGTGCAGTGCGGGAGGTGTAACTCACTACTGCTATGAAACAAATGTGTGGCGTGCGTAAACTGCTGAACGGGAAACAAACGGACCCTCTGATCCAAATCCCAGTAAAGATGAAGAAGAAACAGGTAAGATCTGAAAGCAGCCTACCCAAACCAAACCAAACCACTCTGAATTTGAGGAAAGGCTTGGTGGTCATCTTCACAACTCAGGCTCTTAACTCCTGACCACTGGTCACCCGGGTCTTGGGTCTACGGGCACTTGTATCAGCTCGACCTCAACTATGGGAACCAAATGATTCGGTCACAGTATCTAATCACCCTGCACAACATTGAACTCTAAATCAAACTCACTGCCGTCCACTCACAGTGACCCTGTGGCTCGGAGAACTGCTCCGAGAGGTTTCCAAGGCTGCAGTCTTAACCAAGCAGATGGACACGTCTTTCTCCCACAGAGCTGCTGGGGGGCACGAATGATCATTTTTGTGGGGTTAGCAGCCCAGTGCTTAACCCGCTCTGCCACCAGGGATCCTAACCCATCCAAATGCCCTGGAAGTTAGACTTTAAGAAGCAATCATCTATCCTTCCCTGAAGGGGCAAGGAGAGCCTTCTTTGAGCACCCCAGGTGGAAGGTGCTGATTCTGGGCAGTTTGTTCTGATGTTGCAGCAGTGCAGAGAGGGCGCAGGTGCCGGGAGATCTGGGTTCCAACAAGAGGCTCCAGGTGCTTGTGGTCAGCCAGCCCTAGCTCCGGGGGTTCTGCTGCCAGTGCCCACCTGCAGTGGGGAGATTACAATACTCATAAAACACTGGATTCAGGGAGGCTGCCAAAAAGGCACGAGGACAGGCCCGCTTGCTTCTCTACTGGTGTGGGGGCCCGCAGCTGCTGGAGAGCCTCCTCAACGCACCCTCGTGGGCGTACAACTGTGCTCCACAAGGCTTTGGGTGGCTGAGTTCTCAAAAGCAGCATGCCAGCCCTTTCTTCCACGGAACCCCAGGCTAGGGTCAGCTCGGCAACCCTCCTCTGGCCAGCAACCAGGTACTTCTCTGCCGGGGCCACCAGGGGCTCCGATCATCATTAGGAGGCATCAGAGGTTGCAGAAAAACAGAACAACTACTGAGTCAAGTGCTCAACAGAGAAATATCTGTACTCCATGGAGAGAGGGAAGAGAGGGGAGTAAATGGCAGGGGGCTGGCAAAAGTCCATGGAAAACAGAAATGAAAAGAGCATGGAACTTTTCCGCAGACTTTCTGAAGCCCCCAGAGGTCCCCAAGAAAGAAACCAGCAGTGTTTCCAACGCCAGATACCACTAACTTCCTACGAAAAACTTTGGAAAGCTCAAAGGGAAGGGCATGCACCGACACAAAAGCTGTTGAACTTGTCACGTGTTCCACTGCGGGATTCATGTAAATAAAGTTGCAAAACGAAACAAAACAAAACAAAAAAACTAACCTTAAGGTTATCAAAGGTTTTGCCAGTCTGTGCCAAGTCACTGGCACTCCCTGGAGGCGCTGTCCCCTGTAACCTAGGGCCTGAAGACCCCTGGGAACCGCCAAGGGCCTGGAGGCCAGACAGCAAGGCCTCTGAGCAGCTGCAATGGGACTCCTTCGCTCTCTGACCCGATATCAGGTATGTCTTCAGACCTACGGACAAAAGTCAGAGTCAGCACAGGTGCAACAACTGCCATTGAGTTCAGCAAGCGCCGCCCTGCTGGCCACGGAGGAAGCGCTCCTGCAAAGCGGAAGGGGAGGGGGAGAGATACATCTGTCATCCTTACTGGGAACTCCCTGACCTGGTGGGAAATGTTTACTTACAGGGTCACGTTTCCTAGGAAGGGTGGCTGCGTGGTACCTTTGAGGGTCCCAAAGAAGCATAACGGGAGTCTTCCTGAAGGGGCCAGGAGGCCTCTGCGAGGGCAGTGAGGCAGGGCTGGGTCCTGGGTGTGTTTTGGCCTGACCTTTATCAGGGCGGGACTGGGAGTGTAGACTCCCGGGGAACGGACGGCCCCCTGGGGTCTGAAACCCTCCCCGATTGAACAGACTCGTACCTCGTACACCTCGTCTGTCTGTTTGGACCAAGCACTCGCTTTGGTCAAGAAGAGTTCTACCTGTAGTTGATTTTATCACTAATTCCCATTAAAAAAAAAAGTCAGATGGCCAGTCCCCCTGCATGGGTACCATGCTCCTCAGGGGCTGAAGGTGACACAGCGTGTCCCCACTAGAGTCCAGAGATCTAGCTGTGCTGGAGAAACAAGAAGCCCACTTCTTCTTTCCTTGAGGTCTGAGGAGACCTGCCCCACCGGCTTTCTGAGCGTGAGCCTTACGAGGGAGACCGCCTCATCTTTCTCCTGCTGAGCAGGGGGTGGGCTCCACGGTCGCACTCTGCCAACAGCCCTGAGCATCAGCCCACTGCCCCCAGAGGCACATGTCGCCATGCACGAACAGGGCGATCCCCGCTCCATGAACGCAGCGGGGGGCCTTGGAAGGGGAAGACGACAGGCAGGTAAAAGCACTCGCATACTCATCTACTTTCCCAGGCTCTGGGCCACGGACAGCAGGGAGGGCACTTTGTTACTTCACCTTGGGAGCGACGGTTTTGAGGTCTCTGTGCTGGCTGGGCCTAGCCTGCCTTTCTCAAAGATGTGCATGCGGAGCCTGTTCCCCGGCCTCTGTCAATCTGGAGTGTGGCTGGCCAGTCACCGAGGCAGGGGGACAACAAGGGACCAGGGAGAGGGCCATGTGCTAGAGGTCCAGAGGCCACTCAGCCCTCACCTCCTGACGCCATGGAGGGACGACTTCCCACTAAGGAAGAGGACTTGCCATGCCTGCTATTCTCTGGCTAGCTCTCACAGCAGAACAGTGGTCCCCACTGCCCCCGGATGAGGATGGTACTGGACAAGGACCAGGGCAAGGGCAGATAAAGATGGCCGTAAGGTGAGGGGCTCAAGGCCTCTTAGGTTCTCAAAGCCAGGGCAGGTCCTTCATCACAGGAACTTCATCACTGTGCCCTGGGCAGCGCTGTAACTGGGAACGGCTGAGAGGCGGCGTTTCAACACACAGAGTTCCGTCTGTCCAGGGAGGTGCCGGCCTTGCCTTAGCAGGGGAACTGACACAGTGGGTGGTCTGAGGAGTGGTCAGCCACACTCGTGCCTGAGATGAGGCTCTGCCATTCAGGGGCCATTTGGAAACACCAACTGTTTACCACACATTGGGCTGGGTGGTGAGAGGACCAGAGTGCCCACATCAGCCATGACCCCATCTGATGGGACCCGGACAGCTAGCAGGTGTGCTAAGCCCTGCGATGAGAAAGTGTGGGTGCACTGGGAGGCCGCCCCTCACAGAGACTGGGGGTCAAGGGAAGTCTCCAGGAGGAAGGGAAATAGGTGAGAGGGCTTCAAAAAGCTCATGGGGAAATGAATGAAAAGGTTGTGGAATTTCCCCACAAACTTGTTTGAAATCCTCTTATGTCATCCCCGGGGATCTTCTCAGTCTCTCTAGGCAGAAAAGCACCCGTGGAGATCACTGGTCCACATCAGTGTCTAACTTGCGCTTTCCTTGCGCGGGTCCCTATCTTTAGTGAGAACTGTCCCCACAGTGAGCAAACTGAGGGGCGCCCAGATGCACAAACTGCATAGTGTCCATGGTCAGCCGCATTGGGGATGACCTCAGGTCTTTCTCTATTCGTGCTTCCAGCTGGGGAGCTGGATTTAAGGGGGTGGGGGTGGGGAGCTGGATTTAAGGGGATGGGAGGGGTCCGCGTGCTACAGAAAGGCAGAAGTGTGCCGGGCATTATGAAATAGGAGCCTGGGAGATGAATCAGGACTGGGCTACTTAGCTTGAGACTTAGACGAGAGATGAGGATCCAGTGCGTAAGCAAGTACAAATGATGCTGGGGTCTACGGCCACCAGATAGAGCTTAGCGGCCTGAAGGTCAAAAGCAGCAAACCAATGACTTGTTGTTGAGAGTATGGTACATGGGAGAAAAATCCATTCATTTTCTTAGCAGGTTGTTGTCGGCAATTGATTTTAAGCCTGAACAACATGTATGCCTTTCATCTGCTGAACTTCACAGAAGCTACAGAAATGGGGGAAAGACAGTTCCTCCCGTGAGTCTCATGATGGGAGAATTTGTTGGTGGCTGGATGTGTGGGAGGACCAAAACTGTCTCTTGTGCATGACTGGTGAGAAGAGTGGAAGTAGAGAGAAAAGAATGACCGTCCCGGTCAATTTTAATTGGAGACTTCATCAGCAGGGCTCTGTACTGGGAAATAGCCTCAACCCTCAAGAGTACAGGATCCAACTGTCAACTCACCAGAATGGGAAGGTCTGGGAACAGAGAGGCTGCTTTCAGATGGGAGACTGCAAGTTAACCCCAAACGTCACAAACAGTGAGAAGCTGGCAGCACTGGCCATTCGAGAACAATACATGTAAGAGAAGCAGTTTGTTGGGCTAGTTCACAAACACCCTCAAGATGCCTCTGAAAGGGCCCAGCAGTGTGAGAATTTTTCAGGTTAAAATGTGGTCCATCGATAAAGAAACTACGGATAGTACTCTTGTTCTTAATCTACCAAGTACCAGGCAGTACAGAAGTCTTGAGGCTAAAATTATATGTGGTAAATGAAAAGTTTTGCTACAAAACAAGCCGCCTTTCTTCAACAACAATGTCAAATGGGAATCTATTGTTTCTTGGCATCTCTTCCATCTGGGCCTATCCACCTCTGGAGACAATGCTTCCATCTCTCTAGGCCTTTCTGGAGAATTCTGAGCTCTTCAATTCACACCATGCCACAGCAGCAACTGGGCACACTCGAGGAATCCAGCCCATGCTTCCTTGAAATCCTCTCTGAAGTTTGGGAACAAAAAGAAGTCTGAGGGCAGGATCAGGGCTGGAGAGAAGGGTGGGTGTGGTCTTCCAGTGGGATGGATTCTCCTCAGCCAGCCCGTGAAGACTTTGACTTTGACGAATGAGTGGGAGCATTGTCATGCTGGAAAAACTCCCTTGGCGTACCTCTCTTGGCTACCAATCACATTGGCTCACGGATGCAGTTTTCTGTTTTCTTAAAGCTGCTTTGTAATCACCTCCCTGATTGTCCCATGTCCTTCGAGAAAAATCCGTCAAGACGACCCCCCCCCTCCCTTTTGAACTCCCCAAATTCGGTCACTATCTCCTTAAGCGCTCACCCTTCTGCCTTGAATTCATCTTGCTGATTGATCTTCCTTGAAATACTTGATCCATCTAGAAACTGCTGTTTTACAGGGGCAGCATTTCCTCTACACTTGTGGCAATGTTTCAGTGATTTGGGAAGAGGTCCACTTGAATTTTGTTAAAAATGTTATGTTACTGATGTATTGTCATAAGATTTGTATGAGCCCCCACCCCCAATAAAGTGATTAATTAAAAAATCAAATATAAGTTTACCATAAAAAATAAAATAAAGACACGTTGCCGAAAAAAAGGAATGTCATGTTAGGCGGTGGAATCATTTGGAAAAGCATGTCAACGGTGGCTGTACAACATGAGGAGCACACGCAATGGCTCTGGAGGATACACATAGAAGCTGTAGAACTGGAGATGGTTTGCTGTGTATATTTTTGCCACAATTAGAAAAAAAATTACATGAATAACACTGAGTACAAGGAAGAAGAAAATGTTCTAGAATTGACTGTGGTGATAAGTGTACAACTTTTCTTGGTATGATTGAAGTATATGACATGTGATGTGATAGCAAAACTTTTACAAAATGTTATGTTAGCCCTGACCTCAGAAGCATTTCCCCTCCTCCATGGCACAAAAGTGTCCTTTTCTGTTTGTTTCTTAAAGTCTCCCTAATGAGGCTAAATGGGAGCCCTGGTGGCACAGTGGTTAGGACTTAGGCTATGGACCACAAGGTCAGCCCCGGGCTTTCTACTTCTGCAAAGAGTTATAATCTCAGACTCTCACAGGGGCAGTTCTACCCTGCCCTGGAGGGTGGCGAGGAGTTGGAATCGACTGGTTGGTAGTCAGTTTGGAGTTTTGTTTAAGGATACTGAGACAAGTAAGCCAAGTGTACGACTCAGAGACTTGTCTCAGCCACCGCAGATCTCAGGGCCAGGTCTAAACGCACCTGGCTTGGAATGAGTCCGTGCATGTGTGACTGCAGGCCCGAGGCAATGCTTTCTGACTTAGCCTTGTACTCACAATCATCCTTTGCTTTTGCTTAAGAAGGGTAAAGGCTTGGTGGAAAATAAGACCAAAACAAGTTCCTTATTCACCATTAAAACACTGGTTGGGTCTAAATCTTTCCCACCCCCAGTGGAATAACAAGGTTGGGCTGGTTCTGGGTGCCCTTAGGAAGCCCTCTGCTCTCAAATCAATTCCAACTCATAGCTGCCCTGCAGGACAGAGAAGAGCTGTCCCATAGGGCTTCCAAGGCTATAAATCAGTGCTTCCCAAAGTAGACAAAGCCGCTTCCTGGTGGGCACTACTGGAACAACCTACGGGAATTGCAGAAGTAGATAACCGACACTTCATCCCAGATTATGGGCTAGAGTACTGCAGTTTTTCATTACCAGGAGGTGCTAATTGCCCCCACCCCCTGAAAAGGGGCAGCAGGTCAAATATGTTTGAGAACCCATGCTGTAGATCTTTACAGAAGCCGACTGC